GTTTTAAATAACATTTTTCAGTGGAATGCTTAACTGTTTTCTACTGTTTTGTCCTTTCTTGAAATTCTAGTTATTACCTTTTCTGATCAGATGCAGTTCTGTCTAGTGTCCATCAGCGTTATCCTTGAATTCAGAAATTTCATAAAAAGCCTGGTGTTAAGAACTCCATCTCCCAAAGAGTTTGTATTCAGCTCTTAAATGTATATGTTGTATATTGCTTCCCTGCCTCTTACGAGTGTAAAACAGGCAAGGTAGCTGCTTTTCTTTCTTGCTAGAAGGAAATAAGCTAGAGTAACTTCACCACCATATTTAACTCTTTGCTGTGGTTGTCTAAATAAAGTGTCTCTCTCTTTACATCTGTGTATAAGCAATTAAGTCTGAAAGTGTGTGTGCATTTATCTGTGCATTTATATGTATGCATACACAAACACATTTCACATCTTTTTTCCTAAATGTAATAGTTTGCTTTTAAAAACAAATTGCTTATAAATGAACAAAGATGATGTGCATGTTAAAAATACTGACTTTTTTCCTGCCATCTAGACTTGGAATAAGATAATTTGTAGAATTGTTTTTTTGTTTTTTGTTGTTTTTAATTTTTTTAATTAATTACAAAATGTAAAAGCAGATATAAAGGGCTATGGCTGTCAAGATCATTCTTTAAAATTCTTCAAACTGCTTATTCAGCTCATTAAATTAGTAAAAAGGCAGCAAAGAAATGCTAATTTGCTATTTGAAAAGATGTAAGTAGTTAAAGGTTTAACCCTTACAAAGCTGTGTCTTTATTTATTTCTGAAGTTGTTGGAAAAAAGACATCTGACATCTACACTTGATCGGTACAGCTGGATTTGAGACACAGCTACTTTTTACATCACATTTGTGTGGTGATTGATCCAAAAGCTTAGGTTCCCAGTGTAACTGAGATGATTATTCTGCAGTTGGTGATACCAGTTCTCTGCACTGGATCCCACAGCAGTACAAATTCTGATTCACAAATTCTGTACAAATTCAGACCCACAGTACAGTCATATTCTGACAAATTAACCAGGGCATGATCTGAAGTTTCTCAAGTATGGTGTTACTTGCCAACGGATAGCGAAAATGAAGTCTGTTCTAAAGCCTGTCTGTACAAAGGCTGGTTTTACATGAAAATTTTGAGCTGGGCTCGCCCCGAAAAAATAGCTTTACTGGGTGCAACTGGGTGTTTGTGTTCCAACATAATTCCTTGCTTGTGTCAGCCTGTTTGTGATGCCGTACAGGGAACCAATTGAGCTGGCTGAAAAATAACCAGTTTTAGGGGGAGGAGGGGAGGCTATTCATTTTCATCCACATTAGTTTTCAATTCAGTACTAAAAGCTCTACTATCAGATTTCCTGTATTCTTGAAGCTGCCCTTTGAATAGCTCTGAAATTTACAGATTCTTTATCTGCGTAAGTTAGCCCAACAATTCAGTCTGCCTGTTGACAGTGCAGTGATGTCATGTCCCCTTTCAGCAAGTCCTTGCTCTTGCTCTGCAACCCAGCAGGACAACACAAAAGCCCAAAAAAGGCATGATTAGGACTGGAAAAAATTGCTAATTTACAAATCTGGAAGTGGCACCTTATTTTTTGGATACAATTTCTGTTCAAGATTACACCACTAACAAGTACAAGCTATTTCACTAGAAGTCATATTCTTTATTAGCTGTCTTGATGAAGATAAGACTTCAGTTCATCTTGAAAACCTTCCCATCTGAAGCAATCCTATTACACCTACCAGTAAGTTTCTGTGGTTTTGGAACAATGGAAGCTAACCAGAGTACAGGAGTTTATCAGTTGACTTGCAATTGTGAAACTTACTTCTGGAGAGAACAGGGTGACACCATGTTGTCCTCAAGAATGAAGTGAGAAGCCTAATTCTTCAATAGCCTCCCCTCTGATAACATCAGACAGCTAAATTATACGTGAAAGTAAGACAAACAATGGGGAACAAAAGGAGAAATAAAAATGGTGCATATTTCCTACAATTTCTATGTTGCTGAAATACAAGAAGAAACAAGGTTTAAACATTAATGTGAACTTTTTGTAGTTTCAGTTTATATTTAGATGTAAGCAACAAAACAGAAAATGTACTTTTGGTGCCATGCTTTTATTTAAATGAAAGGAAAAAACTACACTGTACCACATAAGTAGCAATGACAATATTTTACAGCACAGCATTTGAAAAAATATGGAAGCTATGCTCCATGGAAGTGGACAAGTAAGCACACAATACACTGTACATTTTTCAACAGTGCCCATTAAATCATAATTAAATAGCTGAATTTGGCTTTAAACAGCCAAATAATAAAAACTAACAGTCATACTAACATTAAAAAAAAAGAAAAAAAAGATTTCAGTAGCTATTATGACTGTTAGAATATGAAATCTTCCTCCAAAAACAAAGACGAGAGTTTGGCAATTCAGTCGTAGCAACAATAATAATACCCCTGATGAAAGCACCAGTGTGTTCTGAAAAGGTCAGTGATAAATACTGGCCTTTATGGAAAGCATCCTTTTTTTTTTCTTTTTTTCTTTTTTTTTGTTTTTTTAAACATGATCCCAACCAAAGATCCACTGTAATTAGAAAATTTGCAGGCTTAAAAAGGAAAAGTGTATCTAGCTTTACTTTTCCTGTGTTAAGTAAAACTTTATACTGCGAGCAATGAAATTTTCAACTGCATTATTCACATTCTACTTTTAGACATTGCACAAATCTGTAACCTGTTGACAAATGTAAATTTCATAATACATTCAGATATATTTAAAATGACTCAAAGAATTCCTGTCATGTATTTAAGCTCACTTTGATTAGATTGATGCCAGTGTCTTTATGGTGTTGCAAATCTTCAGTTAAATCATAGTACAGATTTTAAAAATAAAAAGCCTCCCATGATAAAACTTCTTTTGAAGTTATTCACCACATGTGTATCAGTTAATTCCAACCTCCTGGTTTCTTGAATCACTGTGTATTATACACAGTTTCATATTGTTATTCAAGATGTTCCTACAATGGTATTCGTAGGAACTGTCTAACAGGCAGAATGTGCAAACCCTCTTTCCCCTTTTTTAATATTATTTATAACCTATATACACAATATGTATACACTTGAAATATAAGAGTTACATATCCTGGTGATATACATGCAAACAGTAGGAATCAGCTAACCACAAATAGTTTTGAGCCACATACATATTAAACATGTATTTTAAAGTGTTTTTTTCTTTTTTTTACAGTTTTAACAAATATACATAAATATAAGAACATAAATTACAGTAAAACTGACAGCATTTTTGAGAAAATGTTTATAACCCAGATGCATTGATGCCTAAGGCCTTATAATAATTTAAAAAAAAGTACTGTTCTAAACTGCTTAATGACATCTCATTCCTGTGCATCTCGTATATAAGTAAATGAGCACATCATAGTAGTGAGGCATAGTTTCTCTCAAAGCAGTTTAATGAGAGAAATATGAACATAGTTTTAGTCTCCCCATGAAACAGAATGGACTACATACTTATAGCACAATACTGTCTTATGTTAATGTAGTTGTCACAACACTGAAACAGAACAGAATCACAAATCATTCAACTCTTTTCCTGAGAATGAGATTTTTTCCCCCAACAAATCCTCTGGTGTACATTATCAAAATAGCCACAGATTTAGGGGAGGCTTCAAGTTTGTAGTTTCTTTTTTTTTCAGAACAGTGTATGTTAAAAGCAAATTATAAGAGAAAAACACTGAAACGGAATAGTGATCTACAAGATAATCAAACACTGTTTTGAAATAAAATGCAGCCCTTTATAAATAATACTGAAATAGGCCTAGAGTTTGTTTTTGTAAATGGTCATATGATAAATTTATTGAAATGTCATTTAGGCTTTTTTGCCATATGTATTTAAAATCGCTAAGTGTCACAAGACATCATCTGTTGATTGTGTCAAGAAAACAATTTACTGAGACACGCTGAAAATTCTTATCAGATGTCTATTCCCTAGAAAATTGATTTAAGTCTGAGCTGGCAGATCTGAAGGCAGGAAGAACAGACAGTGGCCTGGATCTTAAAATCAATGGGAATTAGATACACGACTTCTGAAAGACCTGTGACTTAGTGAATTCTGTGATTCTTCCGAATATTTTTAGTGTTCTGTCAGGCAAACATCAAGGATCTAGTTCTGAATGTTTCACGAGTTCCTATTCCTTCCTCGGAGAAGCAGTACCTGACCGTGTGCTCGCTCTTCATCTGGAACAATGCAAAATAATGCACATTTGCTTAAACTGTTTTAGAGGTCTACCAAATCTTTCTACATTGCATTTTAATGGTATTATGAACATGCACATGGTCAGTCATTACATCTCAGATGGTAACTTACTGAAACAGGAATAACTGCATCACCTAACAACCAACCCTGAGTTGTTAAATAATTCATTTGAAGAAAACTTCAAGCAGTTCAAAGGTTTTTCCTTTACTGTTTAGTCTATAAGCAAATCAGTATTATTCAATTGAAAAAGAATTATAAATACTCGGGGGAATGAATCTTGAATTTGTTACAGCACACAATAAGGATCTTGCAGAACAGACCCAGTCAGCTGTTCTTCAGTGACATACAACTTATGATTTAGTCTTTACTGTAAGTCAGTATGCGAAGTTCAATGGTATTGAGAATATAAGAAGTATTTCTTTAGTGAAAGAAAAAATATTTCAACACAAGCACAAATACAAACATATAAGGCAACAGATGTAAAAAAAATGTAGTTTGAGTCACTAAAGAGGAACATTCAGTGCTTCAGTGTATCTAATCAAAATACAGAGCAAATATACTCTATATATTGTATTAGCACATACAAATCTCCATACAAGTCAAACATTTCCATAATCACTCATAATTATTCACCTAAGCGATAATCTTCTGCACTCCTAAACACTGTGTTTACATTCCAGTTGGACATGATAATAGAACTTGGTGTCCAGTTTTAAGTTCTAAGAGTCTTGTTGGCAACTAGAAATCTATTTCCTATAGGCAGTAAAGATGAAGTGCAAGTTTATCATAATTGTCTGAAGCAAATTTTTTCCCATCTACTATGCCTTGGTGGGTAAAAGTTTTTTAGGAGTTACTGGTCTCTTGGTTTGCCACAAATGGCTGTGAATGGTAATTGCATCAACACTAGCAGACAAAGTTTTAGCAGGTATGTGGCTAAATTGCTTCCTGTCAGAGTTGTATTTGTACAGTCCCTCTATCATCTTCTTTGTGATAGATTTGGGACCTATTCCCGTTAATTTATTGATTTCTTCGGTATCAGGGCAGTATGTATACAGAGATCTGAACTGGCAGCCTGAATCCCGGAACAAGATTAAGAAATTATTGGCATCGGATTTTTCCATTTCCTTTAAAAGAAAAAAAGAAAAAGATTCATAATATGAATTTTGCATTGTAGTTAGAAAACATTCAAAATCATTGGATTGTTGTTTTGAATTTGTTTTCTACCAGAGCTGAAACTTAATGTCTCTGTCCACTAAAAGACCTTATTTTCAATCATTAGAATTTGCTAAGCTTCACCTATCTGAATTTTGATAAAGTAGCTATCTTTCTCATGCAAAACCTTATTTATTTATACAATTTCAGCTATACCTGTTCGGTTTTACCTCAAGAACAGACATCCTAACAAATTTTTTGTAGACCAAATAAAAATTCTTTGATCCATTTCATCAAGCAGGTTTAATAGTTGCAAGTTTGGGAACAGAAAATTTAGGTATGTCTAGATGTGCCTGAAAGATCCTCCAGTGCTAACACAGTGTTTCAGTGATCCCTAAATCCATTCAAGTTTGGTCAAACCATAAAGTCAGTTGAAGTGTATTAAGGAAAGGTTTTTTATTAGCTGAAATCTTCAGATTCCTATTCCACCCAACAGAACTTCTATGGGACATGTGCCCTGAACATGTACAGCTTCTACCAAGTGACGTACGCTGCATCCTGGAGTTAAGCATGACCTTTTTACAGCTGTTCTTTCTGGGATTTCTGGGGGTTATTATGTTCCCAGTTACTTGACCTGAAAGAGGCTGCCTTGATTTCTCACTTGTTACTTCCAAAAAGTAGCTGGAAAGACAGAGAAGGCAGCATCTAGACATGAATGCAGAAGAATTACAAAGAGAAGAAAGGGCAAGAAATACTGTCGTGAAATTTATTCCGGAAAAGGAATTAAATCCAGATTCCAAGTATCTGTGTTCTTTGATCTATTTAATCTGTCAAATTTGTCACAGTTCGCAAACTGTGTCAACCCTCAGACTCCATGTTATTCCCTTTGCATGGAAACACACTGGTCCCTGAGTTCTCACCCTAACAATATTTGTGCATCTTCAGAAAGGTTTATACCAGCACAAGCGGAAAGGCTGGAAGGCACCTTTCTGTAGTAGAAAGTCCTGAATTTGCCCTACTGCTTGGAAACTGGAGAAAAGCCTAGGAGGGATGTTATTTTAGTTCTTTCCGTTCATGAGAGAGTTATGCTTTAGTTCTAAAGGTCCCAATCCAAGGATCTGCATGTATAAGATGGATATTTTTCACGTTACGGAAAACAAGTTTGTGAGCAAATTACAGAAGTCTACATATTGAAGTTCCCACATTAAACAAGCAGTAACTATTAATCAACATGTCGATTAATTCAGCTTGTTCTGCATGTACAACGCGACAGCTATTGTTTCTACAGTACTAGAGAACCTTTCTGTCTACACAGCGAACAAGTCACAGAAGCTAGTCAAGCCTTTCACTAAGGGCTGGCATAACCTGAGAAGGTTCCTTTCAATATTTGCACTTATACTTGAGTGTCTTCCTAACTCCTGACTGTGGTTTGACTTAGGTGTTTATGCTTTTAGGGGAAAAATACCCTTACCTCCAGAATCTTTTTCTTTTGACCTTCATTTACTTTTCCAGCCAAGCAGCAATGTGCCAGCGCATTCTGAATTATATACTTATTGGATTTAGCGCTGGGTTCTTTGAAGAGCTTTGGTCCTATGGAGGAGGAATGACAAATCAGCTAAGTTAATCAATAAGTGAACAAAGACTTTCTTTAAATGCTGTGAAGCACTTCTGATATGGATCTTTTGCATGCATAAAAATACAAATCCAGGAATAAAGTAGAATTAGGCTAGAGACCACGAATTTCACAAACAAGTAAAACGTTCTTTCAGCCGTTACTGAATTTGCTTACAAATGTGTCTTTCATTATTAAATCATTATTATTGGCAGTCTTGGTAAATATATTTTCTCTCAGAGGACCTTTTCTATGAACAACAAAACATTTTGCATTTTCTAACTAAAATTTCAGTCATCCAGGAGGGAACAAATTCTTTCTTTTTCTTCATCTACACCTGTGATTTCAAGGGTAAGAGGTGCAACAATGAAGCTGATGCAGTGCTTAGAGTAACTGTAGCCTGTCCACCTTGGAATTCCAGAAACATTTTAACCAAAACCAGGGATAAAAGATCTGGCCTGACACTTATCAAGTTATTCTGTCTGTAAAAAAGACTTGATTCACCTGGTTGAAGGAGAAATCTCCTCTGTTTTAGTTTCTGAAATATATGCATACTTTTATCAAGACCATTTGAAAAAACCAACATGTAAGTACCAATTCCAAGTCTTAGAAAGGAACATAATATACAAGCAATTACCAATTAAATTTAAGATGAAATCTCAGTTTGTCTATGCTTTGGGAAAAAAAGCCTAGAATCAAGACAAAAAAGCTGTATGAAATCTGATTGACAGGGTAAAGATACTACAACATGTGAAAAAAGCCTTCTGTTCAATTCCTAGGAACTGTATATTCCTTCATTTAAAAATAAGCTCTACATAATAATCATTAAAAGACAATCTTCAGCACTCTGGGTCTTCATGAGAAAACTCAGCAAGACCACGCAAGCAAAGTCTCGCTATCCTTCCTGTAATTTAATTTGACATGCATGTGGCACAAACTGACACAAACTGACTGAAGTTTCATGGTTTAAAAACAGGTAAGTACTTTCTGATTTTCAGAACGATTTCAGGCTGATTTTCAGCCCTTCCAGACTGTAGTCATTTCAGCAGAAAGGAGATAAGATTATTTTCAAAACAAACATTTGCCAGCACAGACAGAGCCATGCAGGCCCATCAATCAAACGTGATCTCCCCAAAAGTTTATCGAAAATACCTAATGTTATTTTACTTTTTACCAAACAAAGTGGTATTAGGTGGGCAGAAATTGAGCTTTTATAACCATAATGATGCAAGGTCTTTGCGCTATCACATGGTGTATATTTGGAGAAAAGGGATGAAGATACCATTATTATTTGATTCATAATATAATAAAGAATTAGAACTCAGATCGTAAAGTTTTTAATAAACAACAAAGGATCTGTTTGGAAACAAAGGGTGCAGAATATTTAAATTCACATTACTAAGCAGATGTTTTTACTGTTGCAATTTGGTTTTTGCTTTTTGTAACTCTATTCTAAATTGAGCATAAATTTCAACTCTTCTTGCCTTGCTAGAGAGACTACTGCAGTGCATAGTGACCTGTGAGCCCATTTACTATTCTGAGCCTAACTGCAGTTTATTCTGGTTATCACAAATGCTACTGAGTCAGTACTTTTATTTTGGATTTAAAATTTTAACCTTGTATTATTACAATCTATTTCAAAGGAGGTGAAAGCAGCATTTCTATGAAAGCATCCTCAATCAAGTTTTAAGAAACCAAATAAAGATAATTGAAAACTTTTCATGCATAGAACCACTAATAGCCAGGTACTTTTCTGAATATTGTTGTCACTGACCTGTGTATTCTGTAGCAGAGGCGACTGAAGAAGTTGTAGATGCGTTTTCCCAATCTTTTTCTCCATTACGACTACCACAGCGACTTGGAGATAAGAATCCTTCCACAGACTCAGACCTAAACATTAATTTTAAAATCTATTAAAAAAAATCACAATGTTCAGCAGAGGAGCCTTCTAATATGAAAGGAAGGCAAACTGTATTACAGTAGAACACAATGATTTGAACTGTAGACTATAAACCTAAATGCACAATATTTACAGAAGAAATTAATGGATAACTGAGTTCATGTTCTGTATAAAGTATTTTGAGTGATGCAAGAAGCTGGTATTTAGGTGAGGTGGATGTTAGTAAGTTTTTGGGGCTACAACTGAGGGACAGAAACCTAACAGATATTCTAGGCTGTGGAATATTATTACTAAGTGGGAATTTGGGTTACTTTTACATTACTAGCAAAACAACGTTATCTCATGTAGCAAACAAACCAGTTCTTGATAGAATAATGAATGTGAAGTAAAAATTTAGTCCATTTATACTTATCGTTACAACAATTGGCAGTGAGAACTGCTGTATTTAAGACAGCAGAACAATTTCCTTTCTAATTTTTGTTTTCACAAGCAGTAACTTCTGGTGCTGTAATTCTTCAGGCTCAAATTCTTCTGCACTCAAATGTGAATAGCTTTGCATTTAAAGGTCTAAGCAAGATTGTCATGTTTTCTTAAATTATCACAAGATATTTAAAGTTTTTTTGATTGTGGCTGCTGCAAAAGCCAGTCCAACTTTCAGCTTGGAATGAAAGGTTTTCTAAGTGAGAAGAAAGGCACTACTAGCAAAGAATAAGGAAAAAAGTGGTATTATAATAACATTTATCTGCACACCAACTTCCAGTAAAATCAGCAATAGATGAAAATTCAATTTATAATATATCCTACACCTTTTGTGATTAGCACCTGCATGAAGAAGACCTCAAAGGTATCACTGAAATTCATTCAGTGTGATCATCAAAATACAATTCTGATGTGAGAAAAAAGTGAAAGTATGGATCTGGAAAGATACTGAAAATTCTTTCAACTTTGTTACTTTCAGCAATTCGTACTGAATTTTATCATATTTTAAAAGTCTCAACCCCCTAAATCAAATCCAAAGCCAGAGGGAGAGGTACTGTTCATTACAAGCTTAGTACAGCACTGTACAACTAAAACTACATAGATACGAAGAAATCCCCCTCTCAATTAAAACTGATCATTTTTAAGAGATGACAAGAGATGTCAGGATACCTGGATCATTTTATTAAAGTTTCTTATGTAAACCAGAAAGTCAGTTCTCAAGACATCAAGGAAATTGGAAAGTCAACTGAAACGAGCTGCAGGCATGTCAAAGTTCATGAGTGATGCATAGTGGCCATGAAAACATGACATGTGATATCATAAAATGTAGTACTCCTCATCAAACCCTTTTTCCTAGTTTGCCTTTCTTCCCTCCTTTTTTTCTGTACAAAAAAATAGTATTTCTCTGAATATAATTAAGTCATTACGCAGAAATAATAATTTTCCTCTGAATTGTAATACTGATTTTTTAATATAAAATTAAGAATTTTCTGTTATTTTTATCTCTCTCTTTCATTTTTGGGTGATTTTTAATACAAAATAAATTCTGGTGTTCAGAAAAGGCTGAAGTCCTAGCAAACATTTAATACTTCCCTGTACGACTGTTAAGGGGAAAAAAACAGAAAAGAAGCTTCTATGTTAAAAAAAGAAAAGAAGCTATGTAGCTGCACATAGCATACAGGTCTAATAAAATATCCACAAGTTGAGACTTAAATACAAGCAGGTGAATTAAAGAGGCTGCGTGAATAGCATTTTGTTTTGACCTCATTTATAGCTGCCCAACTGGTTTACTCGGTAAAATTTGTGAAACAAATGATCATGGCTTGGTTCCCTAATGCCTGACAGCGGAAACAATCAATGTCTCAAATCAGGAAAACATACCTGTTCTTGGAGTACACAATATATACATGACCTGTTTAAAATTCATGCTAGTTTTACATAGCTGATTATCAAATTTTATTAAATGAAACTGTTATTTTAGATTTACCTTGGTGTTCTCTTGCCTGACTGCACACTCTCATTGTCCCCTGTATTCAGCGATGCCAATGAAAGACTAGATACTGAAAAAACACGATAAAGCTGTGAACCTGGATAAAAACAAAGTTAAGGCTTATAAACCTATGCAAGTAGTAGAGTCTGTTCATTAGACCTAACACCAGCATCAGAAAGTTGGTAAGAGCTTTTATATATGAGACTCTTACACCCATACACGATATACCTGCATGCATATGTAGTGCACTTCATCTAAATACTTGCTGACACCCAGCCATTTGCAGCCACCTGGGATGGTCTCAGACTAAGCATTAATGTGAGGTATGGACATGGCAATATTGGCAAATCAAAGAATTTAATCAAAGTTAGTAAGTCCTCATGCAAGAGGGCTTAAAAGACTTAATTTAAAGCCTGGGATGGATTCTTGGAAGGTGTTAAGGGAATACTTTAAGTTACACTGGAAGATAAAGGGAAGCAGCTAGAGAAAATGCAGCAGAATAACAAGGCTATACAATGCTTTAACAAAAAGGATCACTGAGCAGTCTGGTTACTTTTTTCTAGTTGTAAACTGGCAATACTTCTTCCAATCATTACTGCAGTTACGTGGTATCTAAAAGAATGCTAAATTGTTCCACATGATTAGTGTTCTTAACTATACATGCATTAGGTAAGTGAGCGAAATAGAAAAAACCATGAAATATAAAAGTAACTTCTTTATTTTAATTTTGTCTGTATTAAGCGGGAGTATAAGTTCTCTTACCTTATAATCACCATTTTTTTATCGATCTCTTATCTCCCAACTTTTATTCATTCTTAGCTCTACAGATGCAAGAAGACATTAGTGAAGAATACATGGGTGTGTATGAAACTTGCAACACATGTTGGTGCTTCCACTGAGTTTCCATACAGTTAACCTCTTTGTTTGTTGATATATGCATGCATGCATAGCAGGTAAGCAACACTCATCTTTTCATTTCTATTGGCAAATTTTGCTTTCCAGTTTGGTCACGTGCAGCTTCAATTTGGCACAAGACACTAATAAATGCATGTGCTTGTTAGTACCAAAAAAACAAGCTGGTGTTTTAGCATGAACAGACTCTTTTTCCACATGAACATTTGTTACCTGGTGGACCTTTGATTGGCGTCTTAGGTGATTCAATATGATCCCTATGAATAGATTTTGGACGTTGCTTTTTTTGTTTGATTGAGAGGGAACGTGGCTTTATGACAGTATCCATTTCTTCCATAAGCTTTAGTTGTTTCCTTCTCATATATTCCTGCTTAATAAATTCTCGCCGTGCTCGTTCATCCTCCTTCTTCTGACGTTCTTCTTCTGTTTTGCGTCTAAAAAAATTATCAAATAAATTAAGCAGTAGAAACTTTCCAAATTAACACTTTTAGCTAGCACGGTGAGGACAAGACAGGCATCAGATTTTTGGAACTTTAGAGTTCTCAGACATCAGTAAGAGGAACTTGCTTTTTTTACAATTTTCAAACAGTTTAAACTTTTTGGGATACTGTTACTAGTAAAATCAAAACCATGTTTATTAGCTGACTGCTGTAGCTGAGTGAGCATTATGCATCTGTGCAGAAAGAAGCCCAAAGTGATACTCTCTCCCTCAGAATATAAAGTGCAGGGCAGGGTAGTGCTCTGAGGAGGAGCTTCACTCAGGCCAGCAGGGCTCATACGTTGAGTCTGAGCTACAGACTGATTGCCACCTGCTGATTTTGGAGGACCAGCTGGCATGTGTCTTCAGCTGGGCTCCTCAGCACATCTGGCTCTAGGATTAAATATCTTGGATATTAAGATGCAATTTTTTGATATGGAAGCTACACTTTTAACTAAACCAGACATTTTTATGTTCACTGTTACTGATAATTTGGATCAGGACTTGTAGTTTTACCTTGTCTCTTCCTTCTTATGTTCCAGTTCTGCTTCCAGCTGCTGCTTTCGAAGCAGAGTCTCTCTTTCCCGTCTCAAACGCTTCTCCAATAATGCTGCTCGTTTCATTGCCATATCATTTTCTGCCTTTTGATCATCCTAGCAGCAACAGTATTTGAAGGAAAAGGACCCCAAAATATAAGATCTCTGAATTCAGCAACTGATTCTGCCAAGTCATTAGACACTTAATTCTGTACACTGGGTTGCAGTATCCTAATATACTTTTGCAGTATTTGAAATAAGTTTATTTCAAAAGATTTTTCTTAAGACTACTAAAAACTTTGTTTTCCTTCGTAAGTCAAACATAAAATTCAACACTGATATGAGAAAAATTCCTAAGTCAAATATTTTAGTTTAGAGTCAGATCCCACACTGCATAAACTTCTGCATTCAGCTTCAGAAGATTCTACGTGTATGGAGATGAAAGTAATTTATCACAAAAAGCAGTAACTATGCAGCATATTAGAAGTAACTTTTGCTGATCAAGCCAGGTGTTTTGTTAGAACTGAGGAATGCTTCCAGACAAGAAAGGCACATCTCAGATATGTGACACAAGACTCTGGGGTATTCCAAGCTGGAAATTCAAAATCTTGATGGCTTTCAGTGTCTAGACCACTCTCTTACAATATGCATTATAGTTAAAAGCCTGTCTGACTATAACTCTTTAATAAGACAACAGGGAGTGCTCCCAAACACCGACTTCAAAAGGGAGTCTCAGAAGACTATACTTCCTTAGCCAGCCAAGAGAGGGAAAAAGGCTCTCCAAAGCGCAACTCAGAGACATTCAACATTTTAAGAAATGCAGACTGTTATGTACTTCAAAAACTTTCAGTTAAATTTGGGGGTGGGATGGAGAAGTGAGGGTGAGATATGAGCAAGTTTAATTAAGGTCACCAAAGCTTATGTTAAAAATAAATCTACATTCAGCATGCATCTTCCTCACCAAAAACTCCAAGCACTCTTCCACAACTATGAATGGAAAGGGATACTCTGGCATGCTCAGAACTAGCAGTGTGGTAGAATCTCACCACTCTTGTGATGCCAAATTAATCATCAAGTGCAAAAGATATTCTTGTACATTTAGAGTTGCAGAACCACCTGCTTTGATTTCAGTGGAAGTTCATCACTGAAATCCATAGCTGAATTAAGAAGTTCCCTTTAAAAGGAAGCTTAACAGCAGACATACACATCCACTAGTTCTCTTACCTTAAAAAAGAATCCACAACACACTTTCTGGTCATCCTCAAATTGTTCTCTATCACTCTCACCTTCGTATTTTTCAACAGACACTTCAGTTTTTTCTGGTGGCTTCAAATCTGACAGGGAAACTTCAATTAAGTTAGCTGTTTTGGGAGCTGGTGTTGGTAAAATCGGTTGGCTTAGCTGATCTTCATTTGGGGTGAGGCAGACAGTTTCTGTGATAGGCTGGGATAATACTTCAGAAACATTAGATTCAATAGGCTTAATCTCCTTTTCCTCCAACTTCTGTTCACACTGTTTCAGCAGTTTTGGTCCTTCTTCTTTTGCTACCTCTTCTATAGGCTTGACTTCCTTCAAAAGATTTCCCCTTAACTGAGGTTCACCTATATGTTCACCATCATCTCCAAAGCAAACAAATGATCTAGTCTGAATAGGAACCTGACTTGGAGAAAATCTCCTCAAACGGGGAAGACTATCCACAGACCGCGGGGCAGTCAAGGTACGATTTAGAGGTGTTATTTTCAGTTCATTTGGCCTAGGAGTCCTTTGCATTTTAATGTGAAAAGAGGCATTCTTCCTGTTGGAAGACTGTGGAGATTGATGTGTAGAGCGAGGAGATTCCTGTGAGAAAGGTACAATGGGAGATGGAGTTCCCATTTGCCTTGATGAAGACTTAAAGTCCCTAATCTGCTTCTGAGGAGAAGGCTGAGGAGGAGAAATAACCCAAGCCTGTTGCTCTCTCATTTGCATCAACATCTCCTGTTGAAGGGATAGACGTTGCATTTCTTGTTGCAGAAAGTGTAGAGAAGAGTTTAGTTTTTCAATAGATTTTGTATATTCTAAGATATCTCCTTCGTTAAAATTTTCTTCTGAGGGGCTTGCTAAATTCCATTGCTTTTCAGCATCCATGGGAGTAGCAGGAGATTTTAACCATTTGCTGTGAGAATTTTCAGGGTTTTCTTTTATTAATTCTGAAGTCTTACTGGTTTGTTCATCTGATTTTTGAGTTTCTTTTTCTTTCAACCGATTACTGTCAGTGAATACCTTCTCATCTTCGGCTCCTGCTGCTTCTTCTCGGAGAGGTGATACTCCATCACCTTTCTTTTTCACAACATTAAGGAATGCTGTTCTTCCCATTTTCTGCCGCTGCTTTGTGAATGCAGCTTCAACTTTCTTCTTCTGTGCTTCAATGGCTCGCCTCTTTTCCTCTAGCTTCATCCTAAGATGTACCATTTCAGAAGCCAGTAACTGTGTAGTGTCTCTTCCTTGAGGAACAGATGCTTCCTCGGGAATATGAGTCCAAGCAACCACATGAGGGATGTTCAGCTCAGAACCTTCTGGTGTGGTTTTCTGAGAACTGCTTCCACTGCTTCTACTATCTGTGTGATTCAACTTCCTGAATTTCTGCTCTGCAAAGCTAGTCATTTTAACCCCCGAACTTGAAGAAGCACTGCTGCCTGCCTGTGATTTAGTACTTACTGAGCTGGGACAGGGACTTAATTGATCTCTGTGATTGCTAGCTCGCATGTCATAATCCTGGAGAAATTTAGATGGTTCTTCCATGTCAGAGTCCATGCTTACAGTATAATCTCTCAAAGAAGAATCCTCATCCATTGTCTCTGGAATATCTTCTGAAGGGACATGTATTCCAGTATCTACTTCTGTATTGTCAGTCACAGGACTTAGAGCACCTTTTGTGTCTGTAATTATATCCGGGGTAGACTGATTTGGTTTAATGTTTGAATTCAAGATGCTCATTTCCTGATTGTGAAGAAAGAACCCATTTGTAATTTGATCCGGTTGGATAACTCTGGGAGATTTTTCAGTGTCATGAATTATCTGCAAAGCCTCTTCAATGCTTGGTGTCTCAATCTGATTGCCAAAATCATCCAGAACTGCCCTGTTTTGCAGAGCTCCGTTTGGAAATCTGTAGTGGCTGCTCTCATTGGCATTTTTTTGATTTGTGTTAAGGGACTGATTGGCCTTTGTGTCTTTATGAGCTATCATGTCCTTTTCCTCTTCAATATCTTGATTTTCCCCTTCTCCGTTTACTGGTTTGAAGGACAGATTTTTTCTAATATGCTTTGGCATGCGGTTGATGTTTAGTGTAAGGCCTTCATTGCTCACAGATCTAGTAATTCCTCTGTTTGGAGTAGATACTGGAATGCTTTTTTCTTTGTCAAAAGAAATGTCAAATGAAACTCCATGTAATGATGACCTAATAGACATTAGAATAAAGGAAATAACTGAGCAACTCATGATTAATAACAATGAAATATTCACATTCAGTTTTAAAATTATTTTAAGATTGTAGTATCAAAGGCACTGTTAGGTGTACTGTATTTTGCCTAGCTTCAAATACAATATAATATAGTAATATAATAAATGTATAAATAGACAAGTATTTATATCTATTTAATAAATAGATATAAATATAATAAATAAAAATGCACAACAAAATACAATATAACAACATTTTCTTTAGAGATAGCCAATACTTTTTATTACTTTGGAATAAATTCTGGGCACTTTAGGAATATAGGAATTGCCATAGTAGATCAGAAGGAAGGTGTGAAAAGACACACAATTTACACTTACTGAATAACCCACCGCTATAACTCTTACCACTTTAACTTTAGTTTACACCCTACAGATCAAGAGTTTATGACTGATCTGACTAAAAACCAAAACATTCAGCCTGATCGTTCTTACTATCCACAAAATAATACAAATTTAAATACTACTGAGCTCATTAGCCATGTGACTCTTGCCACTTTTAGTTGATTGCAATGAGTAAATGTGAACATATTTAATGCCAACAACTCAACGATCTCAAGTATACTTCATTTCAATGAAAAAAAAAAGATGATTTATTTCTGAAGTTTGTTTCCTATTACCGAGTTCCTCATCCATGATACAGTTTTCTCTTTCTTTTTCTACTTTTGCTAGTCACTTACAAGAACTTTTATTACAGGATTCTGAAAATCCAAACTACAATGGAGCATTTATTACTATTTATGACCAATACATACTAATTTTTTAACCAACTCGTATGGTAAGACTACTTACCTTTTTTCTTTGGGCCATGTGCCTACATACCCATCTACATAAGACATTGATGTGGACCTTCTGATGACGCCTACGTGAAATTAAAATAGAACCCAAGGTAACTGCTGTGAAAAATGATTTTAACATCACCTTCTGTTGCTTTAACAAATTAGTTTGCTTTGCTACTTAGAACACTGTAGTAGCAAAAAAAGTGATTTTATATTGAGAATACAAGTAGAACTGAGTCGATTTCATCCTGAATATATATCATACCCCTCATCCCTCAAATAATTTACTATTGAGTAAAATATACTACAAATACTACTAAAATATATTAAAAATACTTGTTGTAAGCCATATTCCACATAATCAAAACAGAAGTAAAATTAAAAAATATACACAATGTAAGAGGTACAAACACAAACTTCCCATTTGTACATTTTATAAACTATAGAACTCATTCATTAGCCTTTCATGTAAAGCTCTCCCACTAATTTCTGCATAAATAATGTTTGAATAAATATAAACAAGACAGCAATTTACTCAGAAGACGACACCTTGTCTCATTGTCTCTTCCACCCATTTGTAAATTGTTACCTGGAACAGATGAATAAGGCTGCTGGGGTGTATGCAGTTGGTGAGATGGCGTGTAAGTTGGACTTTCCAATCTATAAAGCAAGAGACATTAACTTAGAAGTAATACTTCAAAAGCCACATTACAAAAGGGCAACGAGACTTCATGTCCTGGGCCAACACAAAAACAGATTTATTTTTTGTGACAGGGAGGAAAGTGAGGTGTAATTCTCTTCTTGAAATATTAATTTATTAACTAAAAAGAGACCACTTATTACCTTTAACTGGACCTAACGCAGATAGACACAAAAAGTCAAAAAGGTATTTATCCTACACAAATGGCCACAGAGCAGCCCTAGTTTTGTTAACATACTTGTCTCCTGATTTATTTAATGTAAACGTCATTATTAGAAGGTTCTCACTTTTAGATTTGATTTTAGCAAAAAACCCAAACATAAACATGAACAAAATGAGGCCATTCCTACTGGCCTCAAAGCAGTGACTGCAGCTAATACCACATACTTTTCATGCATCTCTTTTCAGTTGCTTAGTCTGAAGCTTCTACTTTGTGTCTGGACTGCAATATGCACTAGAAGTGGATAAAGAAGATTTTGTGATAGACATGACTTTAAAATACAAAAAAATATATTCACTATTAAGACAGTAATTACAAAGATTTCCTCTATTTCTACGTACGACAGATACTTTTTTTTGGTTCATAGAGAAGGTCTGTAATAGACTAGCTGTGTTAATCCACAATAGGATTAACATAATTCAATGTTTTGATCAAGGTGCTTCTTCAGGATCAGAACAAAGACACATGCATAAAGACGCATGCATTTGTATGTAAAACACTTCTAAAGAAGCCAGACTTCAAAAACATGCTGGATTAAGTAATTTCATGTTTTGAATTTTGTTCACTAGTTGAAGAGCACACTCCAAAACTCCCTTTTTTAATCAGTAATTTTCAAAATTTTTTTTTAGTGCTTTTACAGTTTATATACAGTTTGCTGTAGAAATGTTTCTAAATAATATTTGTAGAAAGGATATTCATGTCAATTTATGAAAAATATTGTTGTTTTACAATCTACAAAAGCATCCTGCATAATTATATATTATTCAAAATAGGCTCATAAATTTCTGATTTTTTGTGTTAGCAACACTACACACTAGCTACATGATGTATGTTTTAAATGGCATTTGAGATTTCTGTGAAAATTTTAAAATCATGTCTATGTAAGTTACCTTAAAAAAAAAGTATGCTTTCAAAATTTCATCCAGCAGCCTGTGAAAATTTGCTACTACAAAGAAAATCTATACACTTAGTTTTCCCTCAAGAAAAGACTGATTTTTGGCACCATAACTGTGGTTCCATGGCAACCTCAGACATCATAACTGCTTGCTGCCATAGTCCCACTCCCTCCTCTGCGCTGGCTCTGGCTCTCCATCTGATCCTCTGAGTCATTTCAACAAGCTAAGCCAGCAGAAAAACATTCACTTGTTCTGACTGGGTTAGTTTTTTCTACCTTTGTGCACTGAAATGACAATGTCAAACACTCAAGGGGGCAGGAACGTGCAGTTGGGACAAGGAGGAAGGCCAGGACCACGACATCCTGCAGTCAAGTTTGTTCCACCAAGGAACCTGCACCCTGTGTGTTAGATTCCCACCATCTGAGAAAACTTCTTAGGTCCCTCCTTTGTCCTACAATGCAGTGAAGGATCATCAAGCTGGACAAAGTTCTTTGGTTTATGAGGGAAAAAATATAGTTCTTCCTATTACTCGTGGATTGCTCTCATAATAGTCCAACACAAAACCATATCCATCACTTGTAGAGACATTAAACAGTGTTGTGATGAGCTAGTCCAATATGCAATCCACCACCCATACGGGGTTCACAATGATTTTTGCTATATCTCGAACATGTTTCAGGAAATGTGAGCAATATTACAAAACACGTTGGCGGCAACTTACGGACTTGATAGTTAAATCTGGAATGGTAATGGCATTAAGAAATGTAAAGGCTTTTCTAAGTCTTTATTAATTGAATTCAGATGCTTATCGTAAAATTTCCAATCAGTTCTCTTCAGTTTAGAGGCCAAAACCATCTGCACAGACAAAGTGTACACATTTAGAGAAAAGGTAGATTTATTTGGCTGAAAAAGATACTATGTTACTGACAGAAAGTGATACATGCACAGTTAATGGCTTCAGCTGCGGGGATTTTTTTACAGAGTCAAGGCTACAGATAGCCGCCTCTTGCGTTACTGTCCAGTATTCTTCTACTAACTTTGTTTACATTTAAAGAAAATCCTCTCCACAGTGATCACTACAGCACAAGAATAAGTATGGCACAGAACTCTGTGTTTCTTTAGTTTAATTTAAGTGTAACTAACATATGATTTACTATCTTCATAGAACTTCTAAAAGATAAGTCATGAAGATTTGTTCATGAAGGGCTCTAAAAGGGTGACATCAGATTGGAAGCCACACACAAATAGTGATTTTTTACTGCAAACCTTGCTTTGTTCTGTAGGATAGTCATAGTTACAAGCCCTTTGTTGGGCTGCTTGCAGTGGCTTTGCAAGGTGCAATTGGCCTTGGGAACCCCTGTTACAAAAGATACATTCAAAACTACTGTTTCTTGTTCTCCTGGCTTATATGCTCAGTTTACACTAAAATAACTTCATTGTCTACAAGGGAAACACTTCAGATACACACAGGAAGAAGAGATTCGCAATCACAGCATTTAATGATAGTAGGAAATATTACTCTCTGATTAAAGTCAGCATAGAGTCCTAAATACAATTAAAAAAAAAACCCACCAACCCAACCACACAAAAAACCCAACAAACCCCAAAACCAAACACCTCCCACCAAAAGCGCCACTCAAAACCAACAGAAAAGGCTGAACAGGATAAGCTGGGTTGGCAACCAACAATTTGCTGAATATCTAGTAAAAATGCTAATTTTATCCTCCTCTGTGTCAGTTCAGACACAACCAATAAAAATAAACCTTTGCCCCCAAATTATAAATATAATGCAATGCTACCCCTCATCCACTATGTTCGGATCAGATCACTGGATGGCTTTTTTTACCCTGTCAAAAGAAAGATTAAAAAGACCTAATGTGCAATTTCTGTCTCTTATCAAATGCATGATCAGCTAGAGAACACAAGGGAAACAGGATGGTTTTATATTGCTTCCAAATCTGTAACAGTAATACTAAAAATAATGTTTCACATATATTTCCAAAAAAATACAAATAGTGCAAAACATATTTAATAAAGCAGCTAGCTTTCCATTCTTGATGCTCACAAGAGTTGGGAAGTTCATCACAGCACAAGTATTTATTTTCACCTATTTGACCTTCATGGTACTTAAGTAACATAATCAGACCACTCAGTGGTTTTCTTGCTGTTATCTTAGTTTACATTCTTTACCATTTTTGGAAAATTTCCTGTGAATTCCAGAAAGATAGCTCTTTCAGAGCAGACTTGGTCAGCAGCCCCACATGAAACTGAACAGGACAAGGAGGCCATGTGACACTTCTCTGCTGAATGGTGAGGGTTGTTTTGGAAACTGGTAAGACAACAGTGCAATGTCCAAGTGGCAAACATGAGCTGTACAAACATGAACATGCTGCCTGACACGCAACGGGGCAGTGGGGGAAATAGCTGAACTATAGGATCTTCCACAAAATTCTACAGATTATATTTGGTAACTCAATCATTAAGCATTACAAAAAGGCAACAAAACTAAATAAAAAACTGTCTTTGACTTTGAACAGAAAGGAGAAGGTTGTGAAACAGTACTAGTGATTCTCTGACATTACCTGGCTACGCAGTCAGAACCAGATGGGCCATCCATGTAATTTCTCCTGTTAGCATTCAAGCTGTGAGCAGAAGCTGTATCTTTTGCAGGTTCAGCTGCCAGGAGGAACATAGCTCAAGTTATTATAGTTTACCATTCAGTTAAAATCCATAGTAGAAAAGCTATCTGAAATTATCTGAAGTAATGATTTCCAAAGATTTAAAGAATTTTCATTGGTTCCATTATTTAGATTAAAACCCAATTACTTCCTTTCAGCTTTACCTCCTCCAAAGTTCCCATATTGGCAGTAGTTAAGGGAATGGAGAATGACAAAAATAACGAGAAAAGGCAAGGGAAGAAATAATAAAAACAAAAAAGAAAAAGAGTTACAAAATTAAAAGCAAGCAATCTTTTCTGGAGAAATTCTTCTGATAAAATTTTTTTTCCCCAAACCCTTAGACTGACTTTTCAGCTAGAAAATAGTATTTTGCTCACATCCTAAATTAGTTAGCAATACTTAAAAGATTTAAATCAGATTTGTATGTGCTTTAAAGCATGTAAATGAAAAAAAAAGGTGTAAAAGCCACACAATTAAAATCTCTTCCTAGCTCTTGGAGAGACAATCACAGCACTACTGTATGAATATTTAAGTTACCGTGATTCTATACTCATTAACAGATCTCAAGATCTACCCAAGAGGTGGATTTTTAAATTTGAGAATTTACTAATACAAGATTGTGCCTTCGCACCCAGGTACAAAATGCAATTTTACAATTAACTATCTGTCCACTTTCCCCAGATTTATGTTCCTTTCTCTTGGTATCTTCTCCTCAGCAATACAAGCTCTTCAGGCTAAATTCTGTTCTTGGGTCCTTATTATGTTTGTACTCCCTGTATGGGCATAAATGGCTTGTTTAGGTCAGGAAAATTTGCAAGTGATTATACCACAACAATTTAAATGAGTTTTTGGTAACAGAAAACAAAATCTAGTTATGATTTATGAGATGAGATGAAGATTAACACAAGGAAAGAGTACTTTGCTCCTTCTTTAAGGGGGTTGTACACTGCTGAATCCTGTTAACTAAAATCTTCACTGTATTTGTGAACACAATGGCAATCTGTACACATACATATTAAAAATATGCATATTAAAACCGACCCTTAATATAATTACCTTGGGGATGCAAAACAACACGAGGTTGTACATATGATGGCTTTACCACTTCAAACCACCAAAACAATTCTGCCATGAACACCAAGTAGTTGCTCTACAAAATAAAAAAAAAAAAAAAAAATCATGTTAAATTATGTTTATAAATTTATGTTAAAACGCAAGCCTGCAAATAAATAGATGAAGCAGCATTCGGGATATGTCTCTGCATTTCATCCAGTTTACATTCTCTTCTCAAGTGATTTCTTAGAAAATGACATCAGTAAGACTGATCTGTAACACCAACTATCTAATACACATAACTTGACCAGACTGTAACCCTTTGGGTTGAAATGTTTCATAATGAGCATATGCTCAGGCCTGATGTCTTGCAGGCAGGGCAGAGAGGTACAGGATGGGTGGAAAAAGATGCCTGTCAAGCAGATTAGCCATTTCCATAAAGAAGAGTAATGAAAAGCCCATTTTTTGCAAGGCTAGGCAATAAAATTTTCAGAGCTTTTTAACATGAAAAACTCTAGTAGCCATTAAGTTTTAGCATAGGAATTTTGAATCTGATTTAAGCCTTTGTGTCAAGCATGTGCTTTTTGCCACATTTGTGAAGATCTACCCAAATTTACAGGTCTTTAATGCAAAACAAAAACCAGCAGCAGCGTTTGCTCAGTGCACGTTAGAACAAGGTTTTAGCTCCAAAGATTTATGCGCACTTAATATATTGTTGATATATCTCCCTGCTGTATTTTCCCATTACATAGCGATGAAACACAGAAGTGTGGGAGCCATCAGATTTAACACAAGGGGAAAAACAGGTGAAAAGGAAGGAACAACTGGTGACATGAACCGCAACAAAAAAAATCAACAGAGAGGAAAATCAGCCAGAAGCAGTAGCAGCAGTTTCTGCTACAAGAGTATATAATAAGGAGTGCAAAAAGACCAGAAGGTTTGTTTGACTGTGGAGGCCAGAGTTCAGAGGCCAAATGATCACAGTCCTAAGCTGCTACGTCCACATGGTTCAGTGCCACTTCGTATCTAGAAATATCAGCTGAATTAGATCAACGAGCATCCAGGCCTGAGCTCACTCAAGCAGGTGCACAGACTTGTCTTATGAAGCCTGAAAATGTAAATAATGCAAACCTCTACTTATGCATTAAATTGGGAAACCATAATTAAACAACTTTTTAAAACTGTTTGTTTAAAAAAGTCTTTTTGCAATAAAACCCAATAATGTCCAGCTAACAATACTTACAAAAGCAAGTGTCCTTAGTCACTTTTTTCATGTCATTAACACTGAATAATTTAAAATATCCAGTTTATTTTCTCTGCTTTATGCTATTTTCATTTAACATTTCACACAGCTTAAATGGGAAAACATAAATTGACAAACTTACTGGTTTAATTTTTACAAATAACAACATGAAGAGCACTTGCAACTTATAAACTAATGTTGAAACCCAGAAATATATTTCCATGTGACCTTTTTTAAAAATAAACCTTTATTTGGTCCTATAAAACTTTCTGTACTTGAGAAAATTAGCATTTTTACACTAAACTATCAGATGCTCTCTCTTTATTTTTCTTTGAGAATGAAATTAAGTGAAAATAGTATCTCAGAGAAAGTGGGAATTTATTTAATTATTTGCTTCAGAGAAGAGTTTCAAAGGAAAGCAATGTCTCTTCTGAGTTTTGTGGCAACACAAAGAAATCAGAGCTGATTTAGGAAAAAAGCAAACGATTACCTAATTTTGCTTTTTTTTTTCCTTTTAAACAAACATAGGGAAAAATCCGCTTATAAAGGATGTTAATTGAGTACATAATGTTACATGGTATGGGACAGAATTCTTAAGCCTATTCACAATAAAGCCCACGGCTTTCCCCGGTCTTCTTGTTTAACCCCAGCTGACAACTAAGCACCACGCAGCCACTCACTCACTCCCCCCCTGCAGTGGTATGGGCGAGAGAATTGGAAGAGTAAAAGTGAGAACACTTATGGGTTGAGATAAGAACAGTTTAATAATTGAAATAAAATAATAATAAGAATAATTTGTAATAAACGGGAAATAATAAAAAGAGAGAGAAATAAAACTCAGGAAAACCAAGTGATGCAACTGCTCACCACCTGCTGACGGATGCCCAGCCAGTCCCCAAGCAGCGATCCCTGCCTCCTGGCCAACTCCCCCCAGTTTATATACTAACCATGACGTCATATGGTATGGAATACCCCTTTGGCCAGTTGGGGTCAGCTGTCTTGGCTGTGCCACCTCCCAGCTTCTTGTGCACCTCCTCACTGGCAGAGTACGGGAAGTTGAAAAGTCCTTGACTCGTGTAAGCACTACTTGGCAACAACTAAAACATCAGTGTGTTACCAACATTACTCTCATGCTAAATCCAAAACACAGCACTATACCAGCTACTAGGAAGAAAATTAACTCTATCCCAGCCAAAACCAGGACACTTCTCTACTTGCTTTGGCTTTTGCCATTGCCAAACTGTTGTGGTAAACAGGATACAGTGCCAGGTGGACCTTTGGTTTGATCAAGGGCAGGTGTTATTTTGTTTTTTAGAATGGGTTGGCTTCTACATTTTCTATATGACTGAAGATGATCTTCAGTATAAACTTTGCTATTATAGATATTAATAGAGCGATTTTTATACACATGAAACATTCTGATTAGTAGAGCATGGGACATTTTTCTAATTTCCAGCCCTTTGTTAGCAATAAGGCCTTCCTTCGTCTCCAAGAAAACCTTGCTGCAGATTAAGAATTGCATTTGGCCTCCTGAAATAAACGCATATAGTCTTTAAAAATTAGTTTAAACTTACAAACAATTTACTCACTCAATTTCACAGAACTCTGTAGGAAAGAGACCTACATATCAACATATATGTTGTGTTTTTTCTGAAGGATTTTAGAAGAATGAGGGGTATTAAATATCAGCTAACAAATTGCAGAGTTGTAAGAGTACAGCAATTATTTAGCTGACAGTTCTTTAACGAAAATAAGACAAATTCTGAGAAAGTAAGACCAGTGGTACATGGTTTCTATTTTAACTTTGTCCAATGAAAAAACTGTCTGGCTGATTCAGGCATATATGGCTGCAAAATCTGTAGGTCTTCTGTTGTCAATTCACCAGCTAGAGGAGGAAAATCTAACCAGAAAGATGAAGCTTTTTGCGATCCAGTAGGAAAGAGAAGAAAACTGCTTTGTATTCTGTGACAGACCCATTAACTCTCCACTGCATAGCTACATAAATAGGCAAGATTGCTCACATTCTATGTTTAACAGTATTTGAGCACACCTGGTGTATGCCCGCAGAAGATGTACTCAAATTAAAAATTGTATCCAGACTATGTAAGACTTCCATTTAAGACTTCTTTTGACAGCTTCATTATGTTTCCAGTCCCTCAAATGTCAAATTCCATTGTTGCCTTAATTTTGTTGCCTTAAAAATGCACACCTCGAATCTTGGAGTCTGAGCAAACGTTTGACAAAAATTCTAAACAAAATGCCATTTTATTTCAGAAAAAAACCACAGGCATTAGGGGTAAGAACATCTTTTTAAAATAAACAAAAATTTACAACACAAATGTTTAATAATAAATGAAATAACCTCAACTCTGTATCAGTAAATTTGAAAATATGATTTTAAATATCTATTTGACACACTTGATTCAGATTTATTTTTCCTGAATATTTCTAATGTTCTAATACTCCAGCAAAGGGATACTCTTAGACTGAAAGCTGCTCATGCACTTTAGTGTATGGTGAAGGGATCAGCCAGATGTTGCCATAGTTATTACATACAAGCTATAAACAGACTAGGAAAAACCCTGTCTCTGCTTATTCAGTACAACAGAATGGAATAAGGAAAACTTCATAGCAAAATCTTTTCCATTCAAAGAAAACGTTAAGCACAGCATTTTGGTATCACACATTGATTTCATTAGGAAGCAATATACATAAAGAAAAAAATCAGAAGTACTTCTCAGACAAAATATGATTTTTAATACCACAATTTCTAAATATTACAATTTCTACAATTTTTCTCTTAATATATTTCCCCTCCCCTTGCCTCCCCTCAAACTTTTACATTTTTAACTTGAGGTTTTTTTACTACAAAAAATGAATTATAAGATGTTTTATTCATAACTTTGTCCCCATCTGAAATAATAATGTATTTAAATACTCCAATTTCTTATGTTTATGTTGAAATGCTGCATTTAATAGTGTGACTATTTTATGAAGGACTCTCATATTCCTTCTGAGAATATCTTCTATGCAGTCCTAAGCTACTAGAAGACAACTTGTTTTTCCAGAATCACCAAAGCAGTATTTACTGAAGTAAAAATGAAACCGTTGACTGCACAGCCTGCTTAGAACTGAGGCTACTTTAGATGTTTGATGGTGAAACATCATGATGGAAACCACATTTTCTCACAAGTTATTTTTAGTCAGAAAGTGATGTTAATAATAATGATCAAAGGGGAAGACTGATGATGAGTAAATTAATTTTTTGGAAAAACTAACTGTGGGTCTGCAGTAATCCTGCTACCCAGGGCTAGAAAGAATGTAGATATTATTTCCACAGATTTTGCCTTGATTAAGCCGACAAAAGTTCTAATAGCTCATCACAGGATTATCACATGCATTTATACACAAAAATATTCAGAAGCATAAAGTATTTTAATAATACTAAAAAAATAACTAAGCTCTGAGCAGTTCAGACTGGCTCAAAACCACTGAACAGCAGATGGCAGACTTGCAGCTTCATAGGTGCTTTTATTTGCTAAACATTCTGATTTAATTTTTTCAATTTCATATTTGCAGACTGTTCATTAGTTTATATAGTCAGCTGTACTAATGGTTACATTTTATCTATTGCATCTTCTGGTACTGTACAATAAAAATCCTTCTGTTTAACAGATTTTGGAAGATCACCTTTTGGAAAAACAAAAATACTCCCATATTCTGAGTATACAATCTAAAGTCATTACTTGCTTCTGTATCAAAGGGAGATATAAGCTAGCTTGTTTTATAAAATTTTATACAAAAAAGATAAATTATTTTCTTTAGTATCTTTATTCCCCCTCCACAATTTTAAA